GTTACAATTCAGCTTTCTCATGACTGTAGTCGATGTGTTCTTGACAAAGGCTCATGCCGGCTCAACAGCTCCGGAGGATTTTATTGTCTCAAATTCAAAGGTATGCATCACAAGTAACATGTTAAATTTACTCATTCTTTTTCAGAAGCTCCTTTTTATGCCTGGGGACTATCAAATTAGGTCTGATTATTCATTTTTTTTGTCGTAAAAGATGAAACAGAGAGAGAAGATCAGAATAACAGACGGGCTTGGAAGCTGGGATTGATAATGGGTAATTTTACTTCATTTTTACTCATTTTCAGCTATCTCCTTTTGCCCACATAATTATTTCGGATCCTGTGTCTGCATAGGTCGTTATAAAGTCGTAATTGTATTCACACCATGAGGTTCCCAACAAACATTAGAAGATAATATTTGAGTGAAAGAATTAAGTAAACATTCACTTTTAAAAGGAAGAGTTTTAAGGACTCGACGCTTGTTCAGGTATTGGAGCGGGATTAGGAATTCTCATATTAGCGTTGCTGCTCTGCTTCGGACTCTACAAACAGAAACACAATGCTCTGTCTCACGTCAGACTCCGATCAACAAACCAGTACCCAAATGATGCAGACCCAGACAGTGGGAGACTCTTCTTTGGGGTCCCAATCTTCTCCTACATGGAGCTTCAAGACGCAACAAAAAACTTTGATCCCTCCAACAAACTTGGAGACGGAGGCTTCGGCTCTGTTTTCTATGGTAATTTGATGAATCATTCTTATTTTCCCCCCTATGATCTCTTGTTTTCCTTAATACAATTTCAAACTTTAAGCTATTTCATTTATAGGGAAGCTTCAAGATGGGCGTGAAGTTGCAGTGAAACACCTATTCAACCACAATTACAAGCGAGTGGAACAGTTTATGACTGAAGTTGAGATCCTCACTCGCCTACGTCACAGAAATCTTGTCTACCTCTATGGCTGCACTTCACGTCAGAGCCGTGAACTCCTTCTTGTCTATGAATACATCCCAAATGGCACCCTTGCAAGTCACCTACGTGGCAGCTCTGCAAATCCTGCATTGTTGACATGGCCCGTTCGAATCAAAATCGCCGTAGAAACTGCCAGTGCTTTGGCTTACCTTCATGCTTCTAGCATCATCCACCGTGATGTCAAAACCAACAACATTCTTCTTGACAAGAACTTCTGTGTTAAGGTGTCAGATTTTGGACTTTCTAGGTTGTTTCCAGATGATGTCTCGCATGTTTCTACAGCTCCACAAGGAACACCAGGCTATCTTGACCCAGAATATCACTATTGCTTTAGGCTGACCAATAAAAGCGATGTGTATAGTTTTGGGGTTGTGCTTATGGAGTTGATATCTTCAATGCCAGTAGTTGATATGGGAAGGAATAAAGATGAGATTACATTGGCGAGCCTTGCAGTTCGGAAAATTGAGAGGAATGAACTTGAGGAGCTGATCCGTGTTTGGGGATTGAGAAGGATAGTGAGGTGATGAAGAAGGTGTTTGCAGTGGGGGAATTGGCATTTCAGTGTTTGCAGGTAAATAACGAGATGAGGCCTTCCATGGATGAAGTTTTAGAGATTTTGAGGGAAATTGAGAGTGAGAAAGAAGAAGGTAGGGATGTAGAGGAAGGTGAGGCTAATGCAGATACACGATTTGGGGGGACTCCAATAAGCTATGATCAGGTAGAAATGGTGAAGGCATCGTCTTCACCAAATAGTGTCACCGTAAAATGGAGCAGTGAATCTACTGCTAATTTCAGCCTTTAATCTGTAAGCTTATTTGTAATTCATGGTCCATTTTCTACTGCGATCGTTTATACTAATTGCATCTTCTTGCTTCTCAAGTTAAGAAGTTGTGTCTCTATATGGTTGCACTTCAAGCCTAAGCCAAGACCTCGTCGTTGTCTATGAATACCATCTCAAATGGCAGTGTCACTGGTCATCTTCAAGGGCACCAAACTGTACGTCACCACTAGGGCCTATTTGAATCAAAATAGTCATAGAAGCTGTAAGTGTATTGGAGAACCTATGGGGAAAACATATAATGACTTTGGAAATAAGCAAATCCTAAAATTATTCAGAAAAATGGCTTAGTTTCTGTAAGGTTTTTAAGGACTATTTTGAAATTAATTGATTTCTTTTTGAAATAAATTACACCTTATTAGTTATTATCTTTATGTTAGGGGAGAAAAGAAACTTCCTCTATTGACGGCCATGGATTTGTGACAGCCGGTTGTCGGAATTTTGGTGCTTGTGACCAGAGAATTATTAGGAAAATTGTGACCTGAAAATAAACGATTATTTCACCTTAAGAAAGAGTAAATCTAATTATACGAAATGATAACAAAATTATAAAAAACGACAAATATCATATACTATCTATGATTCTTAATACAAGGGCTAGTTATAAGATTAGATTTGATCCTAAATATAAAATTTTAATATATTTTATCTCATATATTTATAATTATTATGTAAACTAATTTAACTAAATTATAAGTTGATCTAATGTTATATATGAATATTTTAAAAAAATTATGTCACATTCGTTACAATCAAATGATTGATTTAACTTACTTAATCTATTTAAATTAGTCCACTAATACTTATACTAAAGACCGGGGGTAGTATTTATTTTAAGTAGCTCCATATAATTGTCTTTGTTGGATGATCAAACCTGAGAGCTAGCATGATTATTAATTGTCATGCTTATTTCTTGGTCAAGTGTTATTGCAAAAAAAGGCAAGCTTTTCCATTTTTTTTTGGGAAGATAGTGTTAATTAATTCCAAAATGTGCGCATCTAATTTGAAGAGTGATCCAGCTTTCGTATTAGGCACGGCATAGCACACGAGGTTTTCCAAAAGTTCTAATGTGTTCCACGTCCACGACACGCTTTATCAAACGTTGAGTCAATGGTTTTCCCTCCATATCATTCACCTTTCTCTTTCTGCTTAATTATTCATTGCTCTGCTTCCCCCCCCCCCCCCAACATTTACAATCCCTTATTGGCCTTTTGCCCAGTATATTTGTCCCTATGAAGCCTGATAGTAGTTTTACACTGGTGCTGTTGATTATTCGGCTTATTTATTGGTAGGTGATGTTTGCAACGGTGGGCATAGTTAAGAACCAAACATTAGTGGCCTGTTTGGTTCGATTACATGATAAGGGATTACATGTAATCCTAATGTAAGCAGCTGATTCAAATGTTTGGTTGAGTTCATGTAATGTAAATGAGATTATATTTTGTAATGCTGATTACATTAAATGAGTGCATCATGATCACATTGAGAGGACTATGAATAGGGATGCAGACCTCTTGTAATTGAGTTAAAAAGACAATGTTGCCCTTATAATTTTAAAATTGACTTTATTCTCCCTTGAACTTCTTTCTTCGTCTTCCTCTTTCCACACACCCTACTTGTCCCCACTACCGCGGGACGTCCTATGCATTCACCAACGCCACTCGCCATTTTCATCTCCAATGAATAGATCTAGCAACCTTTTTCATCTATCTTCCTCACACCATCAAACCTCATCACCGTCATCATCTACCATCAAGACGAACCCAAATGCACATCGCCATTTTTTAGCAATGAGCCCAATCGGATCTGTGATGAGGGAGAATGGATGAGAAGCAACGAATCTCCTTTTCCCTTTTGTTAACGTTTCCCTCACTCTCCACAAGACACTCTTCATCAACACCATTTGTAGAATACTGATTCATAGGTAGGATATTGATGTTTTATGGTGTTGAGAGGCGACGGTAATAACTGAAGATGAAGGAAAACAGGTGACGGCAGGGGACAAGGTGAAGAGGAAGGAAAGAGGATGGACTATTTTAGTCTTTTTACTGATATTATTATTCAATTAACTAAATAAAAGTTCAATTTATTATTATTATCTTTACTGTCATACCAAACAAACTTATGTAATTATTACTACATTACATTCCATTCTTTATCATTACGTTACATTGCATTCCCTCTAATTCAATGAACCAAACGGGCACTACTATTGATAAGGGAGTGGGGGAAGCACATAATGTTGAGAGAAGGACACGTGTCTGATTCATGTTATTGGTCTTGGTCTTGGTCTTGGTCTTTCAGCCAAGTCAACTGCCGTGTCGCAGAGGTTCAACTTGCGTGGAGTCTTCCATGCAGAAGAAATTGCAAGACTTGCTTCTCCGACTGGATAAAAACTTGAAGCAAGATTTTGCTTCAAACAACAAGAGTCTTGTACATTAAACTTTTTCTCACTGATTGAGAGTTTCGGAAGAATGGTTGTGCCTGTTTATTTGTTCGTCGTCGTCTTCTTGTTCCTGTCGGTTGACCATGTGCTTCTTCTATCGTTTGCTTCTGGAGATTGCCCACCTTTCTTTGAATGTGGGAGTCTGGGCAAGCTCTCGTTCCCTTTAACCACTCCACAAAGCAGAGATTGTGGAATTTTGCCCATTCATGGCTGTGAACACCCCAACGCTGAGAAAACCGTGCAATTAGGAGCAAAGCTGTTTCAAGTGACGGGGATAAGACATAGGTTCCATAATAAAGTTTTCATTAGAGACGGAGATTTACAGAAGCGTTTGGTGAATGATAGTTGTGATGCCTTCTGCTGCAATATTACCCTTCCTCCAAGCTCGCCCTTGGGTTCCTTTCATATATTGCCAAATATAACCATGTACAAATGTAATAGTTCGCTCAATTACAGGCTTCCAAAGCAATTCTTGAACTATACAGGATGTGGTCAGAGCAAGAATGAGACCATCTTCTTCAGAACGCAAGATGAAGATGATACTTCATCTTCTTTAGCAGCATGTCCAAGGGTTCAGGTTCCAGTAAACACGCAGGCTTTCTCTGCTAATCCATTTACATTCATAGCTTCTGAATTCGGCGTCAGTATTCAGCTTTCTCCTGATTGTGGTCAATGTCGTTTTGAGAAAGGCTTATGCAGGCTCAACAGCACTGGAGGATTTTATTGTCTCAAATTTAAAGGTATGCATAACATATAGTACAGAATATGAGAATTTCTTAGGTCTAACAAGTAACATATGAGAATTTTTTACTAGGTCCTTCGTATGCCTGTCAACTAATCAAATTAGCTCGGCTTATTTCTTTTTTTCCCCTTTTTGTGAACCTAATCTAATGAACTCTGAGGCTGATTGGTTCATTTCATATCTGCTTCTCTAAATTGTGGCTGAGACAGAAGATGAAAATAAAAGACAGGCTTGGAAGCAGGGATTGCTAATAGGTAATTTTACTTCGTTTTTACAGTATTCACATTATAAGATTCCTATGCAATAAAGATAATCTTTCAGTGAATTAAGTAAAAATTCTTAAGGACTTCACGCTTGATCAGGTTTTGGAGCAGGATTGGGCATTCTAATGTTAGCTTTGCTGCTCTGCTTCGGACTCTACAAGCACAAACAGAATGTTGTGTCCCATGTCAGACTCCGATCAACAAATCAATACCCAAGTGATGCAGACCCAGACAGTGGCAGACTCTTCTTTGGAGTCCCAATCTTCTCCTACACGGAGCTTCAAGGCGCAACCAATAACTTTGACCCTTCCAACAAACTCGGAGATGGAGGCTTCGGCTCTGTTTTCTATGGTAATATGATCAATCACTCTCATTTCTTTTCCTATAATCTTGTATTTTACTTCATAAAGTTTTGAACTTTAAGCTCTTTCACTCATAGGGAAGCTTCAAGATGGGCGTGAAGTTGCAGTGAAACACCTATTCAACCATAACTACAAGCGAGTGGAACAGTTTATGACCGAAGTTGAGATCCTCACTCGCCTGCGTCACAGAAATCTTGTTTGCCTCTATGGCTGTACTTCACGACAGAGCTGTGAGCTCCTTCTTGTCTATGAATACATCCCAAATGGCACTCTTGCCAGTCACCTACATGGCCACTCTGCCAATCCTACATTGCTGACGTGGCTTATTCGAATCAAAATCGCCATAGAAATTGCCAGTGCTTTGGCTTATCTTCATGCTTCTGGCATCATCCACCGTGATGTCAAAACCAACAACATTCTCCTTGACAAGAACTTTTGTGTTAAGGTTGCTGATTTTGGACTCTCTAGGTTGTTCCCAGATGACGCCTCACATGTCTTTACAACTCCACAAGGAACACCAGGCTATCTTGACCCAGAATATCACTATTGTTTTAGGCTAACCGATAAAAGTGATGTGTATAGTTTTGGGGTTGTGCTTATGGAGCTGATATCTTCAATGCCAGCGGTTGATATGAGAAGGAACAAAGATGAGATTATGTTGGCGAGTCTTGCAGTTAGGAAGATTCAGAGGAATGAATTTGAGGAGTTGGTGGATCCATGTTTTGGGGTTGAGAAGGATGGTGAGGTGAAGAAGAAGGTGTTTGCAGTGGGAGAATTGGCATTTCAGTGTTTGCAGATAGATAAAGAGATGAGGCCTTCCATTGATGAGGTTTTAGAGATTTTGAGGAAAATTGAAGGCGGGAAAGTAGAAGAAGAAGACAAGGATACAGGGAAAGACGGAAATGGTGGTGAAGTTTCAAAGAATACAGCAGATATACAAGCACAAGCAATGACTTCAATAAACTTTGATCAGATAAGGTTGTTCAAGTCAGCATCTTCTCCAAACAACATGATCCAAAAATGGAGAAATGGAAAAGTTGATCAAGCAAAATTGTTTAGCATTTAATCTCTGAGAAGTTTTGGGCACATAATTGTTCTTTTTTTAATATATAAATGTTTAGGTGAGGAATTAGTTGGGTCTTGAGACTTATCAAAACTAGGACAACTATATAATTTATAAGTTAATTTTTCACTAACTGAATGAATTTTTGTTGGCAATTGTTGAATACTCATATTATACATGAAGACATTGCACTGAGTTCACCCTTCTTTGTAAGTATCATGCTCCTAGCTATGTAGACTTTCCTTTCATCTCGTTCCAATCAGATTACACATATAAGATCCCTCTTAGTGCCTGCTTACTTCAAGGAATATCATAGGCAATTTAGTGTAATAGAAAAATGATTATAGAGCATTTGTTTGATGTATCATTAAAAATAATGAAGTTTTAATTTTGTCTAAAAAATAAAAATAAATGTGAAATGATCTTTGAAATTCTATCAATTAGGCTAAAAATGAAAAGTATAAATGTGTAAAGAAATTCATGGAAGATGTAGATGTCCATACATTAATTCATGCAAGATTGAATATGTATTATATAGTTAATAATTTATGTAATGTTGATTATATTATCTAATTTATGTTTATAGACCTCAAAATCAGGAAATTATGTTTCAAGGCCTTCCTTCTCGGCAAAAATTAAAAAAGACATCTTGACCAAAATGCCCCTGGATTAATTGAAAGAAAATTCCCCTCCTTCACTCTGTTACCACCGGCGGAGCTTCCGTCATTGATGGGTGTTTGATCTGATGGCTAAGGAGTGGAATTCTGTACAAGTTCTTCTAAAATTTTTTAGAAATCGCGGATAGGAAATTTCAAATTTTAATGGTGAAACTTTCAATTTCAGAAGTCAGGTCAATTTAAGGTGCTCAATAACTTGTATGTCACTTTTCTTATGAAAAAACAACATAGAAGTCAAATAAAAAGAAATTTAGTACTACCTCCGGTCCTATATATAAGACTTATTTTGTAGTGTAAATTATACTACAAAATGGGTCCTATATTTAGGACCGGAAGAGTACTAAGGCAAGGCAAAGATTCCCCCCCCAATTGGGATAGTCAGTCAACTGATGCAATAGCCTACAGCAAAGTTTATCATGAGAAGTCACGGTATATTGGATTAAGATACTATTATAAGAAAGATTTGATTATAAATAAAATAATCTCCATAAATTATATAAGATTTGAATTAAATCTTTTAGATCCTTTAATGAAAAGTTTCACAAGAGAATTGATGCTGAATCAAAGGGAGTGGAATCGAAGCTTTGTAAATCTTGATCACTAAATTAATTCACCAATCAACTCAATTTACACCTTAATACTGGAAGTGGTGAGGGGAATTAAACCTAAAAAAAAAGCACTATCTTAAAAAAAAGCACGTCTTAAAAATATTGTACACAACTTTCTTTTTCAATCTCTGCTCCTCGCTACATTTCAAAAAACCATTGCCACAAACAATAACATTTGACAAATGTAATATTAGGCTCAAGGTGAGCTCTTCAAAGCAATTCTAGAACTATAGCCCTGCTTATTCTAAGGAACTCCGACAATAATTTGTCCATTTCACATCTACTTCTTTGAATTTTGTAAACGATATAGCACTTCCTTTTTACTCATTTTCAGCTATATCTCCTTTATCCCACATAATTACTTGGACCCTATATAACTTACGTACTATTTATATTCTAAAGTAAAACAAGTTGTTCGTATAACATGAAAGAAACAAAACCTGTTCTTTAGATTTTAATTTGCATGAGTGCAACAACCATTCAACTGAAATAAATTGTTGTCTATATTTCAGTATAACCATAATTCTAAAGTAAAATAAAAATAAGTTGTTCTTTATTTCTATCTTGTAACCATCCTGTGCTTTCCATCAGGAATAAAAACATAATCATCCATGCTTTCACATTATCTAAACAAATGACAAAATCGCGTCTTGAATACTTTAAAATAATCTTCAGAGCCCTGTCAACATCGGAAGCATCTTGTTTCTCTTTACTTCTCTTCTTTTTCTTGATCGGACTCCAATTATCCAGTCAAGTTCTTGATGTCCTGGGCCACACGCGTAAACGTTGTGTACAGCTGAGGCCCGGTGATTGCTTCATAAATGAGTGAAGGGAGTAAAATTTAATTATATACTTTTTGACCCTGACGACGACTATACTAGGCTACTTTTAAAATCATTATTGGTAACTAATTAAAACTTGGAGTTTCTGTCACTGGTCCTTTTGGCGTTGTGGGAACTTCAAGGTGGGGCAAAACCATGGACTATTGTTCAAGGCATGCTAACATGACATTTGAAGGAGCTAAGTAGGAATGGATTATTATTCAATCAAATTAAAAGTCAGTTCTTATATTAACAATCGAAGTTACTATTAATTCCTCTACTTTTTGAGAGAAGGACACGTGTCTCTTATTCATCTCCTTGGTCTTGGTCTTTCTGCCATGTCAACTGCCATGTCGCAGAGCTACAACCAAACCTTAGCAAGTTATTGCTTGAAACGATCATATATAGCCTCCATAGACTAAACTCGTTCTCCACCAGTGAGAGTTTCAGAAGAAGATCATGGTTCTGCCTGTTTATTTGTTCTTCTTCTTCTTCTTCTGCGCTGACCCTGTGCTTCCTCTATTCTCTGCCTCTGCAGATTGCCCACCATTCTTTGACTGTGGGAATCTAGGGAAGCTCTCCTTCCTTTTAACCACTCCCCAACGTAAAGACTATGAATGTTGCCGATTCATGCCTGTGAACACCCAACGCTGAAAAAACTGTGCTCTTTGGGAAAAAGATGTTTCAAGTGACAGGAATAGACAGTTCCAGTATTCTCGTTTTCGTTAGAGACGCAGAGTTACCGAAGCGTTTGATAAATAATAGCTGCGATGCCTTGTGCTGCAATGTTACACTTCCTCCTAACTCACCCTTGGGTTCGTTTTACATATTTCAACACGAAATAACCTTTTACAAATGTAATATCAGGTTCAAAGTTAGCCTTCCAAAGCAATTCTTGAACTATACAGGATGTGGTAAGAGTAATAATGAGACCATCTTCTTCCAAGCGCAAGATGAAGAAGATCCTCCACCTGCTTTGGCAAGATGTCTAAGGGTTCGGGTTCCAGTGAATTCCTGGCTTTCTCTGCAGATTTATCCACATTAATAGCTTCTGAATTTCCTGTTACAATTCAGCTTTCTCATGACTGTAGTCGATGTGTTTCTGACAAAGGCTCATGCCAGCTCAACAGCTCCGGAGGATTTTATCGTCTCAAATTCAAAGGTATGCATAAAAAGTAACACGCTAAATTTACTCATTCCTTGTCAGAAGCTCGTTTTTATGCCCTGGGACTATCAAACTAGGTCTGATTATTCATTTTTTGTGAGGTAAAAGATGAAACTGAGACAGAAGATCAGAATAACAGACGGGCTTGGAAGCTGGGATTGATAATGGGTAATTTTACTTCATTTTTACTCATTTTCAGCTATCTCCTTTTGCCCATTTATTATTTGGGATCCTGTATCTGCTTAGGTTGTTATAAAGTCGTATTTGTATTCACAAAATGAGGTTCCCAAGAAACATTAGAAGATAATATTTGAGTGAAAGAATTAAGTAAACATTCCCTATTAAAAGGAAGATTTTTAAGGGCTCGACGCTTGTTCACGTTTTGGAGTGGGATTAGGAATTCTCATTTTAGCTTTAGTGCTCTTCTTCGGACTCTACAAACAGAAACAGAATGCTCTGTCCCATGTCAGACTCCGATCAACAAATCAGTGCCCAAATAATCCTGACCCAGACAGTGGGAGACTCTTCTTTGGGGTCCCAATCTTCTCCTGCATGAAGCTTCAAGACGCAACCGATAACTTTGACCATTCCCACAAACTTGGAGACGGAGGCTTTGGCTCTGTTTTCTATGGTAATCTGATCAATCATTCTCGTTTCTTATCCTATAGTCTTGTATTTTCCTTCTTAAAGTTTCGAATTTTAAGCTATTTCATTTATAGGGAAGCTTTAAGATGTGTGTGAAGTTGCAGTGAAACACCTATTCAACTATAATCACAAGCGAGTCGAACAATTCATGACAGGAGTTGAGATTCTCACTCGCTTGCATCACAAAAATCTTGTCTCCCTCTATGGCTGCACTTCGCATCAGAGTTGTGAGCTGCTTCTTGTTTATGAATATATACCAAATGGAACCCTTGCTAGTCACCTCCATGGCAGCTCTGCAAATCCTTCACTATTGATGTGGCCTGTTCGAATCAAAATTGCCATAGAAACTGCAAGCGCGCTCTCTTACCTTCATGCTTTCGGCATCATTGACCGTGATGTCCAAACCAACAACATTTTCCTTGGCAACAATTTTTCTGTTAAGGTTGCTGATTTTGAACTTTCTAGGTTGTTCCCAAATGTTGTGTCGCATGTTTCTACAGTATCACAAGGAACATTAGGTTATCTTGATCCTGAATATTACTTTTGCTTTAGGCTAACAAACAAAAGTGATGTGTATAATTTTGGGATTGTACTCATGGAGTTGATATCTTCAATGCCAGCTGTTGATATGGGAAGGAATAGACACGAGATTACACTGGGGAGTCTTGCGGTTGGGAAGATTCAAAGGAATGAATTTGAAGATATGGTGGATCCATAGAAAGAGTAAACAATACAAAGAAGATAAATGAATATTCTGAGGCACTGTAGCGGCTGTGCTCAGATTCCTTTAATATATATAGGACGAACTGATAGGGTTTCTATGAGCTATACAATTATAACCATACACGTGTAGGGAGGAGATATAAAAGATACAGTTGTACAAGTATTTAACCATATAAACAATGAACAATATAATTATATTCTAACATTGCCCCTTAAACGAGAGGGCGTAATTCACATCCCGAGTTTGTTTCTGCATGACTGAAAAAGAGCTTGAGTAAGGGGCTTGGTAAAGCAATCTGCTACTTGCTGAGTTGAAGGAATATATCTAATGTCGAGCTTTCCTGCTAACACCATATCTCGCACAAAATGAATGTCTATTTCGATGTGTTTGCTTCTAGCATGTTGCACCGGATTTGCTGCTAAGGCCTTAGCACTGAGATTATCACACCAAATAAGGGATGGTCTCTTTATGAACAGACCCAATTCGAAGATTAGGGAGTTCAACCACTGTAGTTTAGCTGCTCCATCAGCAAGAGCTCGGTACTCTGATTCTGTACTTGATCGAGCAATAACTCTTTGTTTCCGTGAGGACCAACAAATCAATGTACCTCCAAAGTATACACAAAAACCAC